TACATTCTTTTCTGAGGCGGTCAAAAACCCGCTATGGGTACAAGCTATGAAAGAAGAAATTCAAGCATTGGAAGCTAATGGAACTTGGTCACTCGTCCCCCTACCTCCTGGAAAGAAAACAATCGGATCCAAGTGGGTCTATAAAATCAAGCACAAGTCTGATGGAAGCATTGAACGCTACAAAGCTCGTTTGGTGGTGCTTGGGAACCGACAGAAAGAGGGCATTGATTTTAAAGAGACTTTTGCCCCGACGGCTAAGTTGGTTACTGTTCGCACTCTTTTAGCTGTTGCCGCGGCCCGCAACTGGTTCCTACATTAGATGGACGTTCACAATGCATTTTTGCATGGAGACCTTCGCGATGAAATATACATAACCTTCGCGAGGATGATTCTTCTTCCTTTGACCATCTTCCCCAAGTTATTGAAGTCTCTTTGCCCAATCTTTTCACCCCTGAAATAGACACAGAAACACAATCTGAAAGTAAAGGTGCTTTATTAAATCAAAGAAGGAAAAGAATTGCGGATCAGTTGCTACAACATTGTCGGAATGGCAAACTTCAGCATGGTACCATGAAAAAACTGGCTGAAGAATTCAGCATTACAAGTAGAACTGTAAGCAGCATTTGGCAGGCAGTTCAATCTCAAATCCAGGGAGGTCAACCCATTGCTGTAGAGTGTAAGTGGAAAGGAAACTGTGGCAGAAAAAAGAAGTTTGCATCATAAGTTTTCGACACATTGCTGTAGGTCTCCAACCTATACGGGGTGACATTACAACTTTGCCAAATCAGTAAGAAGTTTGCATCATAAGTTTGCCACTTCAGAAAAAAAATTAGGGCATGCAGCAGAAAACAGAGAGTAAAATTAAAGAAAATAGCGAAATTACTCTTCCTGTAGCGAAGTGCCTTTGCCTCATCTCCATATGGCTCTTCGAAAACAATTTCTGTATCAGACATCGCCAGGATCTGTTCTGAGGTAACAGATTCATCATCTTCATCCTCTTCCCCATTTTCGACACAACCTTCTTCTTCTTTTGAAGGAAAAAAGTCACCCCCTAGATATTTTTTCCGGTACCACCATGTTGGATCTGTATCATCGGTTCCAGATGCAGTGTCCCCAGAGTCATAATAAGGGATTAAAGGCTTCGAAGTAGTTGGGACAGGCGTAAGAGCCAATCTCTCCTCATCACTATCAGATAATAGCTTGAAGCTTGGCATGGTAGGATCAGGAATCCCCATAAGAAATTTTAGATCAATCAAAGAAAAAGAGAAGGGAAATCTGAAGAGAGAAGGGTGCCAGCAATGGGGAAGTGGAATAGGCAGAGAGAAAGGAGACGGAGATGAGAAAATGAGTGGGTGAGGTGGAGTGAATTGATGGATAAGGTAGGTGGAGGGTTTGGGTGGGTTGGGTAGCTTTAATTAGGGTAAAGGGTATTAGGGTCCAAAATTGTGAAAAGTGAAACACTTTTTGGGACAAGAAAAAAACTAAAGGAGAAAGACTTTTTGGGACGGAGGAAGTATTAAAATACCAAAATGTGAGTAATAAGTCTTTTTAAAACCAAAAAAAGAGTTCTCATTCACCGCATTATTACACTGTCACACTCACCGCATTACCACATTGTAATAATTGCACTAACACCGCCACACTATTATCCATTGTCGTTGGTCATCATCGTACTGTTGCAGACCACTGACGGTTGACTTCTCATTCTAATATACTCCCTCCGTCCCAGAAAACCTTAGCTTTCTCATTTCTTTTTTCATCCTTCCCAAAAAACGCTTATCATTTTTAATAAAAAGTCACTTTTACCCCTTACTTTTTCATGCCCTACCTATCACATCATACTTTTTTACTAATAATCTATCTATTAAATCATACTTTTACTAATCACATCAAAGGACATTTTTGAAAAATCAATACCAAAATGCACTCCTCTTATATCCCCCTTCAAAATAAAACTCCCATATTTTCCGGATGGAGGAAGTATTACACTGTCATTATTTTTTCATCACACTGCCAATACGTGTTCTTACACCATAGTGCCTTTATATTCTTATTTTAGTTTTGAAATTTTTTTCATACTTTTTTGCTTGGCGGACGTACCAGCTTGTTTAATTTGCTTGGCGGACACGTACATGACAGCTCCATGCATGCTAGAGTAATTCTTCTTCTTCTTTTTCTCTTACTTTTTGTACGTACATTATTTACCCATATACTCCGTAGATCATAAAGTAAATTGAATGCAGTACTCCATTGTCTCTTACACTTTACTTCATGTTGTCTCTATAATTTTGAATTGCGCGCAAAAAATGATTTATTTAATTATCCGTCCTAGATTTGTTATTAACTCTAGAAGTATGTTTCATTTCAAAATTAATTTATTGATATTAGATTTTTTA